TTACCACATTTATTCGTGACACATGAAATAACGTAAAGGTTTCTGAACTCACCCTGATTCAGCAACCGATAGATATGAGAAAGCACAGGCACAAATGGACTGAGTTTGTGACGCTCTGCCAATAACTCAGAGAGATACCTGTCATTAAGCAATTAAACCTATTAGAGTCTGTGAAGTCCACAAGCAAGCACCTATGGAATCAATACACTCAGAAAACTGGTGATGTAACAGTTCCATATGACCACTAACATCAGTAGCTGCAACAACCACCATAAATAATCTAATTATAGCTACAAAAAATTAAATTTGAACAGCCCATTTGAGTCACCAATGATTACTTTATGAAAGTCATTACAAAAAGCTGTTTTTCCCTTATAGACTGCAAATTTGAGATGATGACATCATGACTACAAGGCATGTGTTTACATCTCATGCAGATGACGAACGGCTTCACTATATTGATGGTACAAATCTAATGCTACCGTCACTGATTGCATGATTTTGAAGCAGTCAGTGTCACTTCCAAATACTAGGACTAATCTTACATCATCAGAGCAAAGTTACCATTTTGGCATTTATTATAAGAACTGTTTTGCATATAACATTTATCTTCAAAATCCACCTAATGGACAACATACCATTCATATCAAAGCCAAAATGCCATCAGAAGTAAATGAAAAGTAATTATATTTCCATACGAAATGCATTTGATTACACTACCATACAATGTAGCTGATCCAGTATCCTAAATTCTCAGCCAATAGCTCTCCTATATGATACCAATGAAAGAATGAATAGCAAACAATAGAACAATAATAAACACATATCCCCCAATTATAGCGGCATGCAATACTTAAACGTAGATAAAGAACAACTTTTGACCCAAAAAACTTAAAACTCCTATCATTCTGCTATTCGCACTCCTGAGAAAAAAAAATAAACTGATCAGAAGTAAACTAGCTAAAAAAAGTCAGATTGAAACATAAAATCAGATCAATTTCAACACAGAAGTGCACGAACCCAAACTCAGTTTAGATAAAGAAACAATCGCTAAGATAAGCTAGAGAATTAGAAGCCACAGCAATCAAAAATAACAAAACTTAAAGACTCATAACAAATTGACCCATATATTTCCAAGGTCTCGTCACCACACCAATCAACTACCAAAAAAACACTGTGAATTGAGCAATATCTGTAGGCGAGAGCATACTTTTCTTGCTCAACGATGGCGGTGGAGGCGGAGAGAAGGCCGCCGAGGTGAGGAGAGTGAGGAGCGGAGGGCGAGGGTGAGTACGCCATGTACCTGCCGGAAGACATGTTTTCCGGCGATATCGGCGTCAGATCCCGGCCAGACTGACTCACACAGCTACCCACCGACCGGCGTCGAAGCACACAGGCTCTCTCTCTCTCTAGATAAATCAGCGTCGGTGGAACAAAACCTAATGTAAGCCTCCGTGTATTTATTGAAGGTCCAATGGTCAAGACACACGAACAGTGCTCTACTGTACCTTTCGACAGGGAGTTGTTTTCATGTATGTACCACATACGACGGAGCTGCTAGTCACGTAATAGGTTGCTGGATAAGAGATAATTTAAAAAAAAAAAAAAAAACTTTTCACGTATTATATTTTTTGAAAGGAAAAGAAATATTGGGTAATAATCATTCGAACCTCCGAGTTTTGTCTTAATGGCATGGACACCCCCCTCATATTTTATTAATTATAGTGAGACACTCCTTCACATTTGAAACTCGTTACACGGACACCCCTCCCTTTTCATGGCCGTCAATAATTAAAATGGAAAAGGGTGACATCACCTTAAAAAACTCTTGTAATTCTAAAATTAGCCCTCATTAGTAAGATTAAGTATTATATATTAGAATTTTTTCAAAATATATATAATAAAAAGACTATTAGATCCCTCAATGCACTTTAAAAACATAGCACAACTCACTTCCATTTCCACTGCGTGAAGAGCTTTGAAACCCACTGAGTGAAGAACTTAAAAAACTTGTGTAAGTACTCTTTCTCTCTCCCAATTATTTTCCTGTAATTTTACTATATAATTCATCTACAATGCTTTGATATGAAGCTTTGTGATGTTTTTATTCCATCACTTATGGTATCTCTCTCTCCCCCCTCCATTACGTTCAAACACCCAACATCATTGTCTTAAACTGTCCAAAGCTCTACCTATTATGGATTTGCTTGTGACAACATATAAAATCAGAGGGGGTTTGTGTGTTATATTGACATAACTGAAGGGGGTTAGTGAAATCCACAAATGTACATATTATTTTTGTCGATATTATTTTACTTTGTGCCAACTTAGGAAGAAAAATGTATTTCTCATATACAAGTAGAGCTGGTGGTACAAGTGATGGACATGAGAAGCCTGATTTAAGATTCATCGGAAAGCAATGCAACTGTCGGAAGAAAGCTGTTATCAAAATTGTCAAGTCAGAAAAACCAAGTAAAGGAAAATTATACTTCACATGTGACAAAGGCGGATGCGAATTTTTTGCTTGGTGCCATCCCGAGGGAAACTTCAGCAAATCTTATGGCAATGTTAGGCGACCAAATGAATGTCATGGAATAAGACCAATATTTGGTAGTTCAGACTTAGACTATCCTTTCCCTAATACAAGGGTTGTTGTGATGGATGGCAACCCTACTGTGATGAAGATCTTGGTCATTGCATTGATCATTATGTTTTTCCTCATCATAATCCTTATGATGTTGTTAATTAGCAAGTTATAAGTTGTGTTCTTCTAATATTTTGATTATGCAAGAACCTGATATGTAAGAACCTATATTTTGATTATGCAAGAACCTGTATTTTGATTATGCAAGAACCTGTACTTCATCATGTATCTATGTATTTCATGTTCAACTCAAATGACAAAATGGTGTAATATTTCATATAGAACTAGGCAGTGACAAAAAGGTATTATATAACTGGATTGTTTCAATGAAAATGCTTATATTCTGTATTCTAGACAAAAATAACATGTGTCCTACCATATGCACATCTACTATATACCTGTCCCACAAAAAATAACATGTGCCCTAACATCTGCACATCTAATATATACTTGTCCTAGACCAAAATAACATGTGCCCTAACATATGCACATCTATACTCCCCCAAGGCTCTAAACTCCAGTTGATTGAGCACCCCTGCCACATCCCTTTACCCCTCCCTCCATTGCAGTCGTACTTTCAACTATGTTTATTTGAGAAGTTGTATGTGAGGCATTAGAATGACTTTGTGATCCAAGGGATGTTTGTGATGTTGTTGGTCCTTCGTTGCACTACATAATAGAAGACAATTAGAAAATACATCAATTGTATTCCAATAAAATTTGTAGGATGTTATTTACCTGACTGCTATTGGTCACACCACCATTCTTGCCCTTTGCTTTAACCGATGCTATTTGACATGTTCTTTTGTTATGCCCAAGTTGTAAGCAAATTTGGCACCTTATTGTTTGGGACCTCCTTATGCAACTTGTACCAATTGTTGGCTCATCTATACCTCTATTTCTGATGATTCTAGGCCTTCCAGGTAGCCAATGCAGGGGTGGAGGTTATAGAGGTTTTTCCACTGGATCCCACATCATCTGGTCCACAATTAGATGGATCATATCTCCATGAACAAGCAAATAAGTCTCTTTGGTGTAACTTCTGTGACATTACTTCTCAATATTTCCTCTTTGGGATCCTATTGCAGCTGTTGTGTGATTGTAAGGGATCCCAAAAATCTGTCATTGTCTACAAGAGCACATCTCAGTTGCCAAATTGACTGGATATCAGNCATAAATTCCAATCAGAGTTTCCACCATTCTCAACAAGAAACTCAGTTTCATATTCAAATGTATCATACACTTTGGATTTTCTCTTTCGCTTGCTATCACCATTCATAATCTCTACATTATCAGAATCACTACTACTCCTACCACCTTCATTCCCAGATTGATAATCTGAGAAGCCATCACTACTTGCATCCCACTCTTTACATGTGCTAATTGGCCCAACATATTGGCAATCATTCCTAGAATAAGGAACATCATCATCGCCTCTCCAATTCTTATCCTCATAACTAAAATCATATTCATCGTTCTCCTTATCATTATCTCCCATATCAGTTTCCCCATTTCCAACCTCAAACTGAACATTTACAACATCTGTTTCCACATTTCCAACATCAGATTCTGCATTTATACCTNTGTCCCACAAAAAATAACATGTGCCCTAACATCTGCACATCTAATATATACTTGTCCCAGACCAAAATAACATGTGCCCTAACATATGCACATCTATACTCCCCCAAGGCTCTAAACTCCAGTTGATTGAGCACCCTTGCCACATCCCTTTACCCCTCCCTCCATTGCAGTCGTACTTTCAACTATGTTTATTTGAGAAGTTGTCTGTGAGGCATTAGAATGACTTTGTGATCCAAGGGATGTTTGTGATGTTGTTGGTCCTTCGTTGCACTACATATTAGAAGACAATTAGAAAATACATCAATTGTATTCCAATAAAATTTGTAGGATGTTATTTACCTGACTGCTATTGGTCACACCACCATTCTTGCCCTTTGCTTTAACCGATGCTATTTGACATGTTCTTTTGTTATGCCCAAGTTGTAAGCAAATTTGGCACCTTATTGTTTGGGACCTCCTTATGCAACTTGTACCAATTGTTGGCTCATCTATACCTCTATTTCTGATGATTCTAGGCCTTCCAGGTAGCCAATGCAGGGGTGGAGGTTATAGAGGTTTTGCCACTGGATCCCACATCATCTGGTCCACAATTAGATGGATCATATCTCCATGAACAAGCAAATAAGTCTCTTTGGTGTAACTTCTGTGACATTACTTCTCAATATTTCCTCTTTGGGATCCTATTGCAGCTATTGTGTGATTGTAAGGGATCCCAAAAATCTGTCATTGTCTACAAGAGCACATCCCAGTTGCCAAATTGACTGGATATCATGTTCCCTCACGACTTATGTCAAATTCCAAGTTCCTAGCAAATAATATAAGACACTTCATACTGTCCTGAACCACTTTTTCAATTGTATCGTAATGTTTTTGGTGACTAATTCCTCTCGTGCACATCCTTTGTGGTACCTTTTTTGAAATCTCACCATTAACTTGCATCTAATTCCTTCCAAAATAGTGAGTATTGGCTTATGCCTATGCAGTCTCATCCAGTTGTTAAATGATTCACACATGTTATTGGTTATGTGGTCACTTTTAACAGATTCATCAAATGTATGCTTAACTCATGTATGTACATGGACTTTCATAAGCCAACTATAAGCATTAGAGTCATGTAATTTCATTAACTCCATGTTGTCTCTAAACCCTACCACATTATAGGCCCTAGCAGCCCTCCAAAAAATTTTTTTAAGTAAAGGCCTAGGGAACTTGGATTTGAAATTATTGAAGCAATGCACACAACATCTCCTATGCTTAGCTCCTGGGAAAATCTTCTCAAACACTTTATCAAGTTCTTATGTTCATAACAACAATAAAAACAAAATAATAAGAATTATTAACAAAAATAGAAACAAAATAATAAGAATAATTAACAAAAGCATAAGCAGAATAATAAAAATCATTAACAGAAACAAAAACAGAATAATAAAAATCATTAACATAAATCGAAATATAAACATAGATTACCGTATGATTGTTAGACATAAAGGTCCATGGTTGGGACCTGTTNAGAATAATAAAAATCATTAACAGAAACAAAAACAGAATAATAAAAATCATTAACATATAAACATAGATTACCATATGATTGTTAGACATAAAGGTCCATGGTTGGGACCTGTCCCCAGCACCAATAACTGCATGCAGATTCTCTAGAAACCACTCCCAGCTCTCCGTTCTCTCACTTTCAACGATTCCATATGCCACTGGGAATAATCCTTTATTCTCATCCAGTGCTATTGCAGCTACAAGGACCCCACCATATGACCCTTTGAGGTGACAACCATCAACACCAATAAAAGTACTACAATCGTCTCTAAACCCCTTCTTCATGGCACCAAATGCAATGAAAAATCTCTTGAAAATGAGATTAATACTCACTGAAGACTTAAAGTAATCAATAAGTGCAACAGAACTAGGGGTACTTTTCAAAACTTGTCTAACATATGCTGGTAGTAACTCAAATGTCCAATGATGATTACTCTCTATTTCTTCCATAGCCCTCATTTTTGCCCTATATAGCCTTATAGCATTACTTTTAATTTTCCATCGATCATTCAATTCAGATTGCATACTCTCCAATGTTATATTTGGATTGTTCTTGATGACCCTCCATAACTATTTTGCAACCCAGGTGTTGTTTGCCTCAACCACCTTCTTATACCTAATACAGTTATGCTCACTTTTGTAACTCTTCACCTTAAAAGTAGCCTGATCCAGAGAAGTGATGCATAGATCCTCCATTTGCACCTTGCAACAACACAATGCACTGTGACTCTAGCCCTCTCATTCTTCTTCCTAATCACTTTGATCCCTTTTTTAATGATATAGTCTCTTAAAGCATCCCTAAAAAGATCAACATTCTCAAAGAACATCCCCTCACATAAATTCCAATCAGAGTTTCCACCATTCTCAACAAGAAACTCAGTTTCATATTCAAATGTATCATACACTTTGGATTTTCTCTTTCGCTTGCTATCACCATTCATAATCTCTACATTATCAGAATCACTACTACTCCTACCACCTTCATTCCCAGATTGATAATCTGAGAAGCCATCACTACTTGCATCCCACTCTTTACATGTGCTAATTGGCCCAACATATTGGCAATCATTNTGGGAAAATCTTCTCAAACACTTTATCAAGTTCTTATGTTCATAACAACAATAAAAACAAAATAATAAGAATTATTAACAAAAATAGAAACAAAATAATAAGAATAATTAACAAAAGCATAAGCAGAATAATAAAAATCATTAACAGAAACAAAAACAGAATAATAAAAATCATTAACATAAATCGAAATATAAACATAGATTACCGTATGATTGTTAGACATAAAGGTCCATGGTTGGGACCTGTCCCCAGCACCAATAACTGCATGCAGATTCTCTAGAAACCACTCCCAGCTCTCCGTTCTCTCACTTTCAACGATTCCATATGCCACTGGGAATAATCCTTTATTCTCATCCAGTGCTATTGCAGCTACAAGGACCCCACCATATGACCCTTTGAGGTGACAACCATCAACACCAATAAAAGTACTACAATCGTCTCTAAACCCCTTCTTCATGGCACCAAATGCAATGAAAAATCTCTTGAAAATGAGATTAATACTCACTGAAGACTTAAAGTAATCAATAAGTGCAACAGAACTAGGGGTACTTTTCAAAACTTGTCTAACATATGCTGGTAGTAACTCAAATGTCCAATGATGATTACTCTCTATTTCTTTCATAGCCCTCATTTTTGCCCTATATAGCCTTATAGCATTACTTTTAATTTTCCATCGATCATTCAATTCAGATTGCATACTCTCCAATGTTATATTTGGATTGTTCTTGATGACCCTCCATAACTGTTTTGCAACCCAGGTGTTGTTTGCCTCAACCACCTTCTTATACCTAATACAGTTATGCTCACTTTTGTAACTCTTCACCTTAAAAGTAGCCTGATCCAGAGAAGTGATGCATAGATCCTCCATTTGCACCTTGCAACAACACAATGCACTGTGACTCTAGCCCTCTCATTCTTCTTCCTAATCACTTTGATCCCTTTTTTAATGATATAGTCTCTTAAAGCATCCCTAAAAAGATCAACATTCTCAAAGAACATCCCCTTACATAAATTCCAATCAGAGTTTCCACCATTCTCAACAAGAAACTCAGTTTCATATTCAAATGTATCATACACTTTGGATTTTCTCTTTCGCTTGCTATCACCATTCATAATCTCTACATTATCAGAATCACTACTACTCCTACCACCTTCATTCCCAGATTGATAATCTGAGAAGCCATCACTACTTGCATCCCACTCTTTACATGTGCTAATTGGCCCAACATATTGGCAATCATTCCTAGAATAAGGAACATCATCATCGCCTCTCCAATTCTTATCCTCATAACTAAAATCATATTCATCGTTCTCCTTATCATTATCTCCCATATCAGTTTCCCCATTTCCAACCTCAAACTGAACATTTACAACATCTGTTTCCACATTTCCAACATCAGATTCTGCATTTATACCTCGTGTTTCCACATTATCAGTCTCCCTGTTTTCATTTTTACTTGCAACCATATTATCAACTTCCCTGTTTTCATTCGCAACATCAACAAAAATATGTATCTCTCTATTGCTCTTATACATATTAAACACATTCACTAAACATTTATCATCATCAACTGTCATTCTCCTATCACCATGTGCCCTATTTACAGTGATTTTATATGTCACTAAATTTTTTTGTATACCACCAAGTAATATTTTGTCAATATCGACTACCAAATTCATATGACAGCACTCATCTGGGTTTATTCCATAAATTGTCACAATGGTATCACCACTATGGACAACTATATCATGCTCAAATTCACCCATTTTTTTTTAGAACCTGATTAATTCAACCCAAATTTCAAAAACAAAACCCAACTACAATTTTACATCAAACCAAAAAATCAATAAACGAAAAAAAACATTGCATAAAAGACATTATACTTACCAATGGTTGCAAGAGAATCAACGCTCATCATTCTCCAATAGTCACGAGTTAGTTTCAACTTGTAGGTGTCGCTTATGATTCCTATGACTACAAGAATTTAGACTCGCTCATGAAAAATTTTCATTCATCAAAGCTTAGACACTTATAACCAGGGTTACATAAAACATTTGAAAAGGTGTGAGCAAGGGTTAGATCTAGGATAAATTGGGGTTCTGAACATGCTTAGATTCAAACACACACAATGACTGATTCTAAAAATGAAATTTAGGGTTTGAATCGAATCTACAATCTACTGGGGGCTAGAGGTTTGAATCGAATCTATGATTCTCACTTAATTTGGGGTTTTACATACCAGATTTAACCTATTCTAGGCCAGAGAAATTGAATTTCTTTGTGTGTGTGAGTGTGTGGCAAACGACGGGTTGTAGAAAAGTTTTGATTTTTTAGGATTTTGTTAATCAGATGGATATATATGTCATTTTATACACNTGGCAATCATTCCTAGAATAAGGAACATCATCATCGCCTCTCCAATTCTTATCCTCATAACTAAAATCATATTCATCGTTCTCCTTATCNCGTTTATGATAAGGGGTGTCACTGTAATTAATAAAATGTGAGGGGTGTCCATGTCATTAAGACAAAACTTAGGGGGTTCGAATGATTTTTACCCAAAAATTATTTTACATTACAACAATAAGGGTAAATTACAGTTACACCCCCTAACATTTGGTTTTATTATTAAAAACACCCCTAATATTTCAAAAATTACATAGAATTCCCTAGACATTTAAAACTTATAGTAACCACACCCCTTCCAACTAATAAACATTAGAATGGTTCATAGTCAAAACTAATGTCATTGATAATAATTTTTAAAATATCAAAAATACCCTTTAAAATTAAGTTTAAAATTCAAATATTTATTCTTCTTACCCCATAATTTATCTCATCTCTTATTTATCATTTCTCTATTTTATGTTTTACAATCTATCAAATTAATAAGTTAAATATTATAATTTTTTGTTTTTTATACAACATATTAATATAAATTCCATTTATCAATTAGATTTGTCCCAAATTGACCATTACCACCATCACAGTTAACCTCCCTCTATCGCTGTCTCCACACCACGGAAACCACCACCTCCTCCTCCTCCTCCTCCTCCTCCTCTCTCTCTCACTCTCTCTCTTCACACGCATGCATAAAGCATTGCCCATGCCCAATAATAGAGTAACCCCACCACCTCCATCTCCACTTTCATCTTCACAACCACCAAAACACACACACCACCACCATAGTCCAGCAAAACCCCACCACATTTTTCAATGTTGAATATCATATATTGTTCTCAAGTTTCATAGGTACTTTGTGAAGAAGACTGTACAATTTGTTTGGATGTGTGAGCAAAACACATAGTGAGATCTAACAGTGAAGAGTGTACGCGCATAAATTGAACGGAAATGAATGGCAAGTATTGAAGCATTTATATATAACGAGAGAAATCTATATAGACTTGATGTTTTACGGTTTTTTTTGAAGAAAAAAATCAACAAAGTTGTTGAGAGTTTGTAATTATTGGGACTAATTTACTCTCTCTCTCTCTTCCTCTTCCTGCTCCGCTTTGCTAAAGACATACTTTCGATGGTTCTTTTGTTGCTCGAATCTCAGTTGCCTCACAAAACTAAGGCTATTTTTTCTAGTTTGTGATAAGTGAAAGCATTGTTCATTACTATACTCAAGCGAGCTATTGCAACAATCGCATTTAAGAAATAAAATAAGGAAAACTGGAGGTGGTAGAGAAAAGCTTGGACTCTCAATTATGGCATGCTTGTTCAAGGTCATGTCGAACACAACCTCACTAATGTTGGTTTTGGAGCAATCCCTGGGGTTCTGGTATTGATTCTTTGTCGTGTGGCTACTGTGAAGTTTAGGGTTGGGGTTAGGGATATGACTTGAGGTTTAGGTTTGAGTTTGGGTTAAATGGAGGGGTAGAATAGTCTTTATAAAGATAGTTAACTCCATTTAACTACTGGGGTCTTAGTACAATTTTTGAAACACGAGAGTATCCGTATAATAAAACCAAATGTTGTGAATGTAATTTATCCTTATAATAAAATTATAACCTTCTATTTTTGTGATAAGCATGGTGGCCCTCAACGAAAGGTGCCATAAGGAGCGGTTATTTGAGCCTCATCAATAATGCTTGTCCACTGTCAATTAATAAAGTTGCCTCCTTCAACTAATACAGGTCATTAAAATTATGGGAAAGTCTACAATTCTCCCGAAAAAAATGTATTACTATTCAATAGAAAATAATGATCTATTACAGACAATCATGATCAACCATAGTCTTTCAATATGGATCATTACCTTTTATAATTGATCATGTCTTTTAAAAGTTATAACTTACGTCTCAAAAAAGTTATAATTTTTTATACGGTACTGAACTTTTCCATTAAATTATTAAATCACATTTTGATGCATTTTTATTATAGACATTATTTTATTTAATTAAATAATATTTTACTTGCAGGTATATGCTATTGGTAGTTGGGATGCTATTTTTTCCTTATTCATTAGAAAACTACATCTCTCCATGTCCATCCACTTATTTCGGAAGCTGATTCAACTTACTAATTGATTAAGTCAATTATTATGTTGTGGATTATGATGTTTTGCGAGTAACCCTCTTGGACTATCTTTATAGTCAATTATACGTTACGTTTGCAAAATGCATCATCCACCCGATAGTATAGACTTTTAAAATGTTACACACACTGATAATTCTTTATATTTTTTTGTAGATAATTGACATTATGCTTTTACCAATTTGTTCCTATTGTGGTCCCTTTAATTAATCGTTTGTTGTGTTTGAGTTCAACACTCAATAACAAGTGGTTCGAATATCGGGTAAAAAATATAAATGATCCTTAAACTCTGTATATTGTTTTAAATTAGTTCATGAACTTTAAATTATCTAAATTTAATCTCTGAACTTTTTATCNTAATCGTTTGTTGTGTTTGAGTTCAACACTCAATAACAAGTGGTTCGAATATCGGGTAAAAAATATAAATGATCCTTAAACTTTGTATATTGTTTTAAATTAGTTCATGAACTTTAAATTATCTAAATTTAGTCTCTGAACTTTTTATTNTGTATAACTTATATATATGAATCGATCATTACTATATACATGTATAGTTGCATACATATTTTTTGTGTATACATACGTGATTTGCGTACATGAACTCATAGAAAATTTTAAGAGCANGATTGAGTTAGTTATGGGTTGGGTTAAATTAGATTGGACTAAAATAAATTCAATATAATTTTTACTCATGTAGTAAATGGGTTATAACGGGTTGAGTTAAACCGATTAACTCATAAAATAATTAAAACTTTTAATAGACACATTAGTACATCAAAACACACACACACACATTAGTAATATACCAAAATATAAATATACACACACACNGATTGAGTTAGTTATGGGTTGGGTTAAATTAGATTGGACTAAAATAAATTCAATATATTTTTTACTCATGTAGTAAATGGGTTATAACGGGTTGGGTTAAACCGATTAACTCATAAAATAATTAAAATTTTTAATAGACACATTAGTACATCAAAACACACACACACACATTAGTAGTATACCAAAATATAAATATACACACACATNACCTCGTACAACACATTATAACACTTCACCACATACTTGAGAGTTTAGGCCAAAGAAGAGTGTTTTTATGATGGAGCTTTAAATTTAACCACTTGTGCAAAATTGGTGAGAATTATGAGATATCTGCACCTCAACCTGAGTTGTTTCGTATCAAATTTTATTATTTTATATTTTGTTTCTCAATTTATGCATTTCCACCAACANAAAAATACACACACATATACTAACACAAAAACTAAAATATATTTAATAAAAAAAATATATAAATAATGGGTCAAGGTGATTGTGAGATNAAAAATATACACACTAATACACCAAAAATACACACACATATACTAACACAAAAACTACAATATATTTAATAAAAAAAAATACATAAATAATGGGTCAAGGTGATTGTGAGATGTGGGTCAATCGATAGGTGTTGTGGGTCAACCCATGAGTCATGGGTCAAGTTATGAATTGTGGGTCATGGGTTGACCCACAGACTATGTGTCGCGAGTCAACATGTGGGTCATGGGTTGATCCGTGGTCATGAATAGTGTATTAATGTGTGTTTTTGGTGTATTAGTGTGTGTATATTTTGATGTATTAATGTATATATATATATTAGTGTAATAGTGTGTGTATTTTTTCGTATATTAGTATATTTATTTAATTTTATTACTTGTGTTATTTAATAAAAAGATAAATATTCAATTCAATGGGTATCCATTTGTAATCCATATTAATCTGCTTAATTAAACTGAATGATATTACTCAACTCATTTAGAACTCATATTAATTAATATAAGTACTCAACCTATTAATTTATGAACGAATTAATGGATAATGGATTAAAATTGTCACCTCTAATCACATTCTTCTGTATGTTTAACGTCCTAAACATGTTCAATATAAAACTTTTTTGCATAGAATACGAATTAGACGGGTTTATTGTATAATAATAATAATAGAGTTATTAATGTTTAATTCTAATTTGACTTGCTAATTTGGTGTTCATATTGGATTGAACAATAACGCAATCTCAGACTGTCCAGCCCAAATATTGAATTGGGCTGAAATATGATTGGGCCTTGGGAAAGTGAACATATTATGGCGCCCTCGGTTCATCTGGAAGCATTTGCGAACAACAGAAAGAAGAAGGCGATGATGGAGGAAACTATACCCTTCAAAAACCTACACAGCAGAGAATACCAAGGCCACAAGAAGAAGGTTCTCTCTCTCTCTCTCTCTCACACACACACACACACACACACCCCTCCATTCACTTCATCTTCTTTCGTTATTCAGTGGAAGAACCCAATTTGAGGAATCGAACTTAGTACTATTTTTTAATTGTCTTGGTGTATTTTAAAAGGTGCATTCAGTGGCTTGGAATTGCATTGGCACGAAGCTCGCCTCCGGTTCGGTTGATCAAACCGCTCGCATTTGGCAGATCGAGCCACACGGACATGTAAGCCTGTTGATTGTTGACAATTTCCTTTTTGCTCATGTTCCGACCTTCTTATAACAATTTGTCTTATTTGCATACGGTTATTGTTCCCAATTTAGGTTTTTTAGTTTATGTAGAAATTTTTTGTTTTTATTGGTAAAATAGGTCAAGGCATTCTCGAATTCTAAAAGCTCAGGTACCACTTGTCATGTTAGGCGTTAAATTGATTCTGAGGAAATCAATCCTTCAAACTGCTAGTCATTTTGGATCTTGTACTGTAGAATGCCAACTGAAGTGATGGAACCAGTGCTATAAAAAGAGTCTAACAAAGCATTGAGTAGCAGTTTTTTCTTTCTTTCTTTGCAGTTAAATTTGGGAACGTGCCCTTTTCCCGGTTGTGGAGAGCAGCTGATAGCTTGTGTATTTATTAAAGGTAGGCTATTAGGAATCTAAGACCAGCTCTTGGCAACAACACTTATAGTGTGTACACTCAAGAGTGGCCAAGGGACTATTGAGAGTGTCACTGCTTGCAAAGTTCGATAGATGAAGCATGAATTTCATTCCCAGTCTTGTTGTGACTTGAAATTGTCATTGCACTCAAAGTTGGACATTAGTGCTTTCTCGCTCTTGATTTATGTTTTGGGGGAGGCATCCAATTTGTATTTTTCAATATTCGGTCTTTTGATAATTTGATGCACTCTTTAAATTTCATGCAACACTACGAAATGAATTAAAGAAGAATTTAATTGATGGGGAAGGCTTTTATTTGTTTTTCATGCATGTGTTTTTCCCTATATTTTTTGTGTGTGTTGGGGGGAGGGGGGGGGGGGCGCATTTTTGGCCAGCAAACAATGTAGATCATTGTGTTATGTGTTGCTGTATTTTGACATTAGGTATCTTTAAGCTCAAATTTGCTCAACAGCTGATACTAAACATGTTTGTCAGCTCTCAATTCCTGTGATTTTCTAATACCAGTAGAACACTGATGTCTGTGTTTCTATCTTTTCATTCCTTCTTGGAAAACTCTCTTTGGTTTCATTTCTATGGCATTGCTAGTGGATCACATTGGACAGCAATTGGCTTATGAAATGAGGTCTAGCATTCAAATCTACTTCACATTCTTAAGGAGCTGGTAACATTATTTGGAGAAGCGCTTTTAAACACCTATGTATCAATTGCATGCTTAGTTGAACACTTCCAAAGTTGTAATTACTTTAGATAAGTGGCTGACCTAATCATTTATTTTTTGTTTTCCTGTTGATTATTCAAGGCAATGTGATATATTTATTTTTTTGGCAATAAAAGGTTGTTACAAGGAGAATTCTATTTTGGACTATCGAATATTGCATTCATTTGGAGTGTCTGCTGCAGGGTAAGGCTAAAGATATAGAATTAAAGGGGCATACTGATAGTGTGGATCAGTTATGCTGGGATCCCAAACATGCTGATTTGATTGCAACTGCATCTGGTGACAAGACAGTTCGTCTGTGGGATGCTCGTAGTAAGTGAATGCCATAATGCATAAGTGTGCTTGAGTTCTATCATGGTTTTGAAATAGGTACTACACTGTAAATGTTAAGGAAAAAGAGGTCTTACAAAACCTCTCTTTAGGGGAAAAAATTGCATTGTCTTTGGGATAATATATGTTTATATTCCTTTGAAACAAGAAACGCTAAGGACTGATATAAATGAAAGTATATTTAAAGAATAATGTGGACCACTATTGTTGATGAAGTAAAAGTTCGTGGGCCTTAAACTTTTTTGAAGACCTTTCAAACTAAAGTTTCATGGAATTGGGTAAGAAATTGAATGGTTCTGTTTCTCTCTTTATCTGAAATAGCTGCACCACTTTGGGGTTGTTTAATTGGTTGGAATTTGGGAAAAACGAAAACGAATTGCAACAGCACTGCAGAAGATGATCATTTACGCGTCTTTTGGATTCTGCAGGTGGAAAATGCTCACAGCAGGCAGAACTCAGTGGGGAGAATATCAACATTACTTATAAGCCCGATGGGACACACATAGCTGTTGGGAACAGGGTAAACTTTACAGTCTATTGTCATTGCTTGACCATTGTGTAGAATTCAATCTCCATGCTAAGTTTTTCCTTTAGTAATCTGTGTTTCTGTTGTTGTCAGTTTCCATGGATCCCTTATGGCAGGATAATTCTTCAATTAATATTTTGCGTCTTTGCTACCTTTTAGTAACTTAGAAGTATATGTCCATTTTTCTCACCCTGTTCTCATATATTATATAGGATGATGAACTGACAATCCTGGATGTTCGAAAATTTAAGATGATTCATAAGCGCAAGTTCAACTATGAGGTAATCTCTTGTTCCGTAATACTGAAAGTTCTCCTATTATCTGTTTAACAAATGTTAAAGGCAGTATAATTTGGGTCTCTGTTCCAAGGGAGGTTCAGAGCAACCACCTACTTCAATGATAACTTTACAAGTTTGTTGTTCTAGGCTAAGGGTTAAGGTAGCTGGTGTGCCTTATCTCTCTGCCTTTGTGTTTTTTGGGCTTTCTCTTGGGGCGGTGAGTGTTTCAGGCAAAGTTTAATCCCTCCTACATATTGATGTAGTTATTGGTCCTAGTTGTGCATAGCTGAACCATCTCAAATGACTTTCCCGATATGGAACCCACACAAGTTAGAAAATATATCATCATATAGCTCCTCAATTTCTACGTTTTTGGAGGATAAATATATACATAGAATTTTTCTTCTTTTTTCTATATGTCTTCACCATTGGTAGGTAATATTGCACCCATGCCCCAACTGTTACGTGAAGCTTGCATCTCTCTGCCTTTAAGGGAGGTGGGAGATACTGGTTGCAGACAACCCTTATCAGACTGACTTTCAACCAATCTTTTACCCTTATGATGTTGCCCTCCAACTTTAGATAGCTAACTAGCAGGTATTTCCCCATTGCTGAGCCCACCTCTTGGCTCAGTCACTTGAGTCGTGCAGCTTTGCACATATAAACTAGGGAGGAGAATTGTTTGTAACATGGACTTATAGATGTCTGGCCTAGTACGAGGAATTCCTCTGAATCATAGTTTTTTTATTTTTTATAATTTAATACATAGTGCTCCTTGATTGCTGTTCTTACTAGGTAAATGAGATCGCATGGAACATGACAGGAGATATGTTCTTTCTGACAACTGGGAATGGTGAGAACAATTAATGGGCAGGCAATTGGCCTTGTTGCAAATATGTATTTGATTTCAACATCTAATTTAGATGATGTATCTTCTCTATTGACTTGGAAATTTTATTCATTTATTGTTTATACTCATTCCCCAGGAACTGTTGAAGTGCTAGCATATCCATCCCTTCGAGCGGTTGACACCCTCATGGCTCATACAGCTGGTTGCTACTGCATCGCAATTGACCCACTAGGGAGGTGTGATTTATACCCGACTCATTGTTGTTGCTTATTTATTTCTGGTATACATGTTCTTTTTATATAAAATAGCAGTGTTGAGGTTCAGAACTCATTTTTTAAGGTCTTTCGTAGTGTCCTTTGTTTAAAAAATTATGTTATTGAAATTTTGAGGGTTACAGTTTTGAATAGAAATACTTAATTATGTAGCCCTTCTATTGAGGTGTCATGTAGGCAAACCCTTTTAACTTTTGCACCAGCCTTTTCCTACTATGGCAGATATTTTGCTGTTGGAAGTGCTGATTCCTTAGTAAGCCTTTGGGATATTAAGGAGATGCTCTGTGTGCGAACATTTACAAAACTGGAGTAAGTCACATCCTTTCCTTTTTGATTTGTTTGTGATCTTCACATGTGCAAGTTACATATTTTCACTGGGGAACTTTCCTGATATTTTCTTCAGACATTGGTTTTCTCCATCCTTGGGCATGGCTTGACCTTTTCTATCTTATTCTCAGATGGCCGGTCAGGACAATAAGCTTCAATCACACTGGAGAATATATTGCTTCTGCCAGTGAAGACCTGTTCATCGATATAGTATGTGTCTTTGCCCCTTTGGAACTTGTATAAGTTTTCTATATTCAGCAAAATTCATTGAGTCTTTATGTGAAACTCAGGTCAGGTAGGACTTATCTTTCCTAATTGAGTAATCATGCTCGTGTTCGTTATATTACAAGTTCTTCTCACTGCAATAGTTCTGTCTTCCTTTAGGAATGTAGAGCATAACAATCTGTTCAACAGCATTTGCTTTAGATGGCCAATATTTCGTAAATCAAAATTAGATTGCTAAGATCATCATACTGTTATTCAGAAAGAAGTTAGCTGAAGAATGCTTATGTTGCCATTTGAAACAGTCTAATGTCCAAACTGGACGATCAGTCCACCAAATTCCATGTCGAGCTGCTATGAACAGTGTGGAATGGAATCCAAAATACAATTTACTTGCGTATGCTGGAGACGATAAAAACAAATATCAGGCTGATGAAGGTATTTTAGCTTCTTGCCTCGAGTAGTAGCAACAAATGGGATCCCAGACAGGATATAACTCGAAATATTAAGTAGCTGTGATCGTGAGTTGTTTCAAGTTGTGGCCTACATGCTTTTCTGAATTCCTTTTGTGAAAACAGGTGTGTTCCGAGTATTTGGCTTTGAGAGTGCATAGCGAAAGGTTGCATGGGCTGCAGTGCAGTGGAGTTGAGAGTTCGGTTGGGGGCCGATGTTTTCCCTCCTGTGGCTCTTTCCATCTGAAGGGTATTTCTGTTGATGTTTATTTGTGTTGTACATTATTGTGTTCTAAAGTGAGGACACAAGCTTCCAAGCCATCAGACCAAGATGGTTCATCCCTCTAATAAGGGATAGGACAAAGTACGATTAACAAAGACACAAGGATTGAAGCCTGTGGAGTTATTTAAAGAAGTAAAAGTGTCTCAATTTAATCAAGTTCAAAGTGTTTGAAATTGAGCCACATTTGTAAAGGATAATCAATTCCAAGAAATCGAAATTTGACTTGTTTAAATTGTATCTTGACCTGATGTAATCTTCAGATTTACTACTGCACTGATGATGTAGAAAAACTTCTTAAAAACTCCGAGGATTAGCCCAGCGGAGACAAAGATGAGATATAAATTCACAAGTGGTGATTTTGAAATTTGGCAATTTTTGGGGGGTTAATTTATCAGGGATTTATTTTTCATAAATTTTTTAANGTGTCTTTGCCCCTTTGGAACTTGTATAAGTTTTCTATATTCAGCAAAATTCATTGAGTCTTTATGTGAAACTCAGGTCAGGTAGGACTTATCTTTCCTAATTGAGTAATCATGCTCGTGTTCGTTATATTACAAGTTCTTCTCACTGCAATAGTTCTGTCTTCCTTTAGGAATGTAGAGCATAACAATCTGTTCAACAGCATTTGCTTTAGATGGCCAATATTTCGTAAATCAAAATTAGATTGCTAAGATCATCATACTGTTATTCAGAAAGAAGTTAGCTGAAGAATGCTTATGTTGCCATTTGAAACAGTCTAATGTCCAAACTGGACGATCAGTCCACCAAATTCCATGTCGAGCTGCTATGAACAGTGTGGAATGGAATCCAAAATACAATTTACTTGCGTATGCTGGAGACGATAAAAACAAATATCAGGCTGATGAAGGTATTTTAGCTTCTTGCCTCGAGTAGTAGCAACAAATGGGATCCCAGACAGGATATAACTCGAAATATTAAGTAGCTGTGATCGTGAGTTGTTTCAAGTTGTGGCCTACATGCTTTTCTGAATTCCTTTTGTGAAAACAGGTGTGTTCCGAGTATTTGGCTTTGAGAGTGCATAGCGAAAGGTTGCATGGGCTGCAGTGCAGTGGAGTTGAGAGTTCGGTTGGGGGCCGATGTTTTCCTTCCTGTGGCTCTTTCCATCTGAAGGGTATTTCTGTTGATGTTTATTTGTGTTGTACATTATTGTGTTCTAAAGTGAGGACACAAGCTTCCAAGCCATCAGACCAAGATGGTTCATCCCTCTAATAAGGGATAGGACAAAGTACGATTAACAAAGACACAAGGATTGAAGCCTGTGGAGTTATTTAAAGAAGTAAAAGTGTCTCAATTTAATCAAGTTCAAAGTGTTTGAAATTGAGCCACATTTGTAAAGGATAATCAATTCCAAGAAATCGAAATTTGACTTGTTTAAATTGTATCTTGACCTGATGTAATCTTCAGATTTACTACTGCACTGATGATGTAGAAAAACTTCTTAAAAACTCCGAGGATTAGCCCAGCGGAGACAAAGATGAGATATAAATTCACAAGTGGTGATTTTGAAATTTGGCAATTTTTGGGGGGTTAATTTATCAGGGATTTATTTTTCATAAATTTTTTAATTTTTGCATAAGTGATTTGTTTTTGAATGAACTTCTATTAGAGAAAAAAAAAAAAGAAAAAAGAATTGTGTAACGCAGCAATGCAAACATAGGGTTGACATAAATCTCTAAGTTGAAAACCAGTATGAATCTCCTTCGTTAACAAAAAGATGCCCCACTGAGTTTACCTTTTTGTGAAAACGAAACCAAAATAACAAGGTACCAATTGGAATTTAGTAACTTACTTCGTTAATTCCAACGACGAACAGCTGGCCAACTAAAAAATTTAATGGCCCAACTTACGCCACGTGTCAACCGACCAGCCTGCCTGTCTGACTGGTCACATCACCGAACCGGTACCAAGTATTTACCTTTCACTTTGGAACCTGAACCAGTTCTCCACGACATGCAAACCTTGGAGTAATGTTATAAGAATTAATTTGGGGATTTAATTAGATATTTAATTTAAAATATCTGCTTTTAATATAATTATTAAATTAATTTGTTTGTTCTAACGTTAGCCCACTTTCAATCTAATAATATCAGTTACTATTAAAGTAATTCCAAATAGTCTTGTCCTAAAGGCTAATCCGTTGGGCAGGCCACCAAGTCAATTCAATAAGGGCCAATAATATATAGACCCTAAAGCTTTTAAAATTTTCATTTTAGCCCCTGAATAGAATTTTCATTTTATGGCCTTACAAGAATGAAATTTCATATTTAAATACTCCAAAAATATTCCAAACTACAAATATATAATACTATAGGACATTTGATTTCTATCATCAAAGATATCATAATGTTATTTTATTCCATAAAAATCATTTTCTAATTGGACCTTGTCTCATGAAAACTTATTTACATGATAATATGCCACGTTATTTATTCATTCGATGAGTGAGACTCATTCCCATACAAATTTATTATTTTTTTGTTTTTTGGGTAAATCATCTTAACGCATCAGAACAAAAAATACTACGATTTTTTATATATCAAACAAAAAGTAACACTTTGAATCCACAAGAAAAAATAGAGAAAAATTTTGAAATATAATATTATTTAATGATCAACTCGTAGTACAAATAAACAATACAAATAGAAACAATCAAAACTCTAATTGTTCCCAAAATAGAAGCAAATTCCTAAAAATTATGAAAAATATCAAAAAATATAAATATGCAATTTTCCTAATTAATATAAAAGCATATGTCGTCTGGAGTCCAAGGAAATTGACTACGTCAAATCTATAATTTATTATTATTTTTTAAATTTTTTCCAAAAATAATAAAAATAAGATTTTGAGGACCTAAATGATAAAATTTGGTTCAAAATTAAATGAGTTAATAGTTAGATGATGAGTCTTAATAGTTGACCAGATCCAGATCCAATTAAAACACCATTGGTTTCACTAAATTCAAAGTCCGACTTATTTTGTCTCTATTATTATTTTCTACCCTTCCGTTATTCTTTCAATAATAAATGATAGTTTATTTAAAAAAAAATAGAAAAAAATGTTTATTGGAGGGATCTGATCTGCTAATAAAAGCTTAGGGCATGATATGAAAAGTTTTAATCCTTGAAGGGTTAGAATAAAAGACTTCAAATCCTTAAGGAGATAAGATGCCATTCACCCATTGAATAATCCCTGTAGTTGTCCTTCTTCCACCGCCAGTACCGGTAACCAGTCAGTCTCCGACCAAATATCCGTCCAATGCCAATTTTCATCGCTCATTTCTTGTCACAAAAGAAAAGAAGACGCAGACTAATACGCAATGGACAAGTATATATAGACTCGAAGCTACATAGAGGGCTTTATCGAATTCGGAGGATTAAAATGCATCTGTACAACGCTTGGCTGCCACCGCCAGTGGTGGAGGAGACTAAGGGAGAAAAACAATCGTTCGCTTATGTGGTGACGGCTGTTAAGGAATCGTACCGACCGGACGATCCTGAATCTGTCTATTCCACTCTCAAATGGATTTCTGTCATTGACCTGTGAGTTCGAATTACTTACTACTACTTCTTCCTTCAATTTATGATATTCGTATATGTATGTGTTTGTGATTCTCGTGGAAACTGAACAAATTGTATGCTCTCTGCGTTTGATCACGCGCTAAAATTGCTGTTGTTCGTTCCTGTCCCAATAAAAGGTGCATATTTTGGCTTTGGAGAAGTTGTTGTAATACCATTGTATAAGTGTATTGCCTTTTGTTTATTAAAATCTGAACTTTGTAGACTGTTTTCTATTGTGAAAATAGTTAGTCGAGGGATCAATAATGCTGCTGAAAAAGAAAGAATGAATGGCAACAATTTCTTCATTGATTAAGAAAATAAATTTGACTCCATTGTTCATGATTGTATGCATGGCCGTTCAATTTGACTGTATTCTATGTGAATTGGTATAAAATTCGTTCTGTTGTTACTAATGAACATTAATCTTTGTGGCTGAATCATTTCCCCATTTTGAGGTACGAAATTAGGCAACTGTATTCTGTGTTTCTTTTAGAGTTAATCATTTGTCATATTTGTGTTAGGATTTAATATGATGATATTTTCCTTCTCATTAATTTATATTCAGTTTCATAAAGGCAAAAAGTGATGTATCTTTGGAAGACGTGGCTGCTGTTGTGGAAATTGGGTTAGAATTATTTGGAGTATCACAGAACAAACTTTACGTCCAGGTGCTGTTCCCAATCTCAGAAAGACTTCTCAGGAATGTTTACTCATAATCTATTTACTTTTTACTAAAACTATAGTCGCATTTGTATTGATAGGTTAGATGGGGAAATATCCTAGTGAAATTGTTGAACAAATACCGAAAGAAGTTGACATTGAAAATTCAGTGGCGTCCTCTCCATGATACTTTGATGCATGCACACTTCAAAAGGTCAGTTCTATGTTTGTACTTTACTGTTATACTACTCTTCCTTACTACATGGTTTGTTCAATGTACCATGGATATTGCACAACATGAATTATGCTCCCTTTGCACTCAAGGGGCATTCCATCTAAGGCTCTATGTTTGGATGCAATTTTTCATGGTGACTTCATTTTTCGATAATTTGTTTTTAAATCTATCTATATCAGTTACCACATTTTGAAATGGAACCCCTGAACATCTTGGTTTGTTTCATTCATTTATTATTTTGTATCATTGACATGTCAAAACATCCGCCTAGTTAGGGGTGGAGCCAAAAAAACTTGTTTCTGGGTGGGCACTATATATTTTAACAAGCGTAATTTTTTTCTTGTAATTGATAAAAATAGAATAATACATTTATATTTAATTATATCTTATTTAATTCTTAAAAGTTCATTAAACTTAAAAGACTAAAATTGTTGAACATAGTAGATACAAATGACCATAAAAAAAAAAGGGCTAATTTTATCATTTTACCAAACGAAGGCTAATCAAAACTATTTAGAATTGATTTTGATGAATTTTTATATGTTGAAAGTTTTGCATAAACTTTATTATTATTTATATTCACAATCATATACATAATAAAATATATTCTCTATCATATCGATGATAATTACTAAAATAAATGTTAAAATTATAAGTAAACTCATGGATATATCATACCTTTTCTGGTCTTGATTAAAAAATAAGGTGGGCACAATTTAATATATTGAAAAAATACTTAAAATATATATAAGTAATTTTAGAAAAAAAAATTTGAGGGTGGTGGCCCCCCCCCCCGGGCATTAGGTGGCTCCGCCCCTGTGCATAGTTAACCACAATTAACTGTATCTTGGGCTTCTTGTTCTTGTTGTTTGTGTATCTGAAAGCTATTTTCTGGTTACAGGAATACAGGCCCAGAAGGATGGAGATTGAGACAGCGACATTTTGAGACAGTTACTTCCCTTGTTCGATCCTGCCGGAGATTTTTCCCACCAGGTTCAGCCTGTGAGATATGGTCTGAATTTGGGTAATTTTCTGAATAACTGTCTTTACTTTAGTCATTCTCTTTATATTTAGAAGTTATACTGATGTTTCAAGTAATTAGCAGATCAATTAGTCTCATCTGTTTGGATTTTAAACTACTCTCCTTTGCAAAAGAGAGTATGCAGTGATCTGCCATTTTGGTTTAGTGATGGAATCATAACAATCTCTTTACATGTTGGCTTGAAAAAAGTGGTTTTTCTGAAGATGGCTCCTGATTTAAGCTTCCCCTCTGAGAAAAGGAAGATTCTTTAGTCAGTCATTTGAGTTTTATAACCACATATAGGTTTGATTTGTTTTGCTGCATGGAGTTATAATTACATCTGGATACAAGCAAAGTCAATCTAACATGTCTTCATTAGGTGTGAGGAGAGATAAACCAGTGTTCTCATAATGTATGTTGGTGATACTTTGCTTAGATTTGAAAATGAGTAATTTGGAAGCACAGATAGTAAAAGACTTCAACTCAACTCAACTCAACCTTGATCCGATTAGTTTGGATGGGCTTACATGAAACTGTCAGAATTCGATGCAGAAAAATTGGGCGCAAATGAAGTATTGTTTTAGTAATTGAAGTTATTATTCCTAAGGGCAATTTTCATCCGTGAAGAAGATATATGTTGCACTGACTGAGGGAGACTCATCTCTGGTAGCTGGCAGAAGCAGGCTGGCCCATTTGTAGTTTAGGTCTCTCAGGACAACTTATTCACTATTCAACTTGTTATGTTCATTTTTCTGCGGTAGTATTATAAGTTCATGCATGCTCTAGTAATTACTTATGTGATCTGCTAATAGAGGTGTCATTTATGCTTGAGGTGGTTTGATTGCTAGGGTATATGTTGGTGTAGGCTTAGCAGGGTCCATAAGTACTATAAGATAACTTATGGTTGTTTTACTAACTGGTGGAAATGCAGTGATTTGGAGGTTAAGGAATGTGTTAGTTGTTGCATGATTGGAAAAATCTAAACTTAGATCAATTGCTCATGGCAAGTACTAGTTGTGACTGATT